TTTTTTCATCAGGAGGAGCTCAACAATGACGCTTTGCTTCGTGGGATCAACTTCCTGCGAAGAGATCGAGAATAGGAAGTTCAGATATCCCGTTCGATCATGTCGGATAACACTGTCAGCACAAGAGGACGTCGACCCCACCCTTCCATTTATGCGGAATCCTTCCATGAGCGCGTTCGTCTGCTGCATGAGATCGTTCTGCATCTTTTGTCTCGCCAATTGTTCCTTGTCAGCTCTGATGACGGCTAGTTCGGCCGAAGTCTGCCGAGCCATGACATGAACGGCGACGTAAGAATCGGCAAGATGGGAGAGCAATTCTCGAGATGCGGGTCTGAATGCAAAGAATCGCTCGTGCCCGAATTCGGGGTTAGTAGTTCCTGAGATCCGCTCAGTGTCGACCCTGCTGTCGGTCTGATACACTGAATACGTGCAATAGACCTCCTGCGAGAATCTGAAATCATTATACAGCGAGGACACGGCCGGAAGTTTGAGCTTGATCACATCCAAATCGATGCCGAACTCACCGTGAAGCCCTCAGGTAGATTTTTACAGCAGTGTATTCTCACTATGAAGGACAAGTTCTTGTCTACGAGCTCGATGGGGTTGTCTATGAAGACATTGTCCTCCTCGCTGAATTCTTCCCCGAATTCATTGCACGGCACGAGTTCGACCTATGAGAGAGGTACACACGGAGGTGGCCCGAAAGAATTCGAATACCAAACACTAAATTGGAGTCTCGAGAGCTATCGCTTCTGATTGTTCAACGAACCTCCATCAGGCCAACGACTTCTGACCGAAAATCGATTATTTCCAAGCTTTCCTTGACTCGCACCATGTACGTGAGCGGTTGTAGGTAGAGTCGCGCAGTCCCTATCCGAACATCCGCATCTGGATTCTCGTAGAAAGGATCGGCGATCTCAGGTATATCAATCGGTGCGCCACTTTCCATCTTGCGATACAGCTCGCGCATGGCGAAGATCCTCGTTTCAAAGCATCGGATTGTCCATTCGAAGCGCTGATGAGATCGGGTGTGGTATACAGAGGCTAAAATCTGTAACGGAAAAGACCGTTTAGCCGTCAGAGGCGGAATGCTCTAAGTTTTTGCTCTCCAGGTTCCTTCGATGAGCACAGCCACGGAGTTATCGAATCTACGTTCTCACCTCTGTCTGACCATCGAGTTTCCCTTGCATTTCCGGCGACAAGAGTTGTATATCGTACTTGACGTCTTTTTCCATCTCTTCTGCCATTACATTAGCTTCACTGATCAAAGGCAGAGCCTGGAGAATGTTCCTATTCAACACGGCAGACTCTGGCGAGGGGCAAGATACGTGGATTGGAAAATCTCACCGTACGGACTCCCATCAGAAAAAGTGCAAGAGGCCTCATTCGGCAGCGGGGATGAGCCGACGCTCCGTCTGGCACGTCCGCTGTGTAGCTCGGGCTTCAGCATAACTCACCGAAGGTACAGTCACTTGAAAACATGATCCCATTCAAATGTATGATTTCTTCGAAAGCGCTCCAGAATGAGATCCGCTCCTCCTCTTTGACGTGGACACGCAGTTCCTCTCTGGGGTTACGATAAGAATACAGGTGACGCGTCCCGAATAGAATCCTTAGGGGAAACAACGATTTCAGGGGTCGAGATTGTACTTCGCATTAGACGGATGTTTCCATAGCAATGCGTGAATGCGACGATGCTACAATGATTACTGATTAGGATTAGTATCCTCATTTCGTGGAAGTACCTGTCATCACTTCTGAGCTCAGTCTTTTCCTTGACGGATTTCCCGTTGATGAGCAACTTTGCAGTCTGCGAAACAGGCTCGATCTGTATGTTGCCTGATGGACTCTTCGATAGAACCGCATGTACCGGTTCGATTCCAGGCCCGACGAGCACAACGGTATTTTCCTTATCCCGACCCACGGTAACGTCTCCGTTGTATACGAAGTGGAGGATGCGGTCAGACGTCATGGAGTCCGGCGTCAGGTTCGACAGATGAGGGAGCTTCTTCTTGTCTTCTTCTTCGCCGAATGTATTTGTGATCTGACGGGTTGATGTTTTCGGTCAGGTACGTTTGAGCAATGGAACGCTCATGAACATCAACACATGGAGAAAAGCTCATAAGCTCACGGATCCTACAGACCGACTGGATGAATGATTCTGTCGTTTGCATACGATCGTCCAGAGGCTCTTTCCATTTGCTGAGCTGCGACTCTAGCCATTTCAATTGTTCCCTCGCTTCGTCTATAGACTTCGTCACGGAGTCCCGGTCCTCTTCAAAGAAAAAGTCCGTCAGTACAGGGGTACTTGCCTGCGCTCTGGGACGACCCTCATCGGCAAGCAGCGGTACCTCTCTGTAACAACTCAAGTTTTTTCCGAGCTCCGTCGATCTCGGCCCTCAGCTTCTTCTGCTCTTCTTGAACACAGAACTCGTTGCGTCTGACGCGACTGTGACCATTTTGAACTTCTTGAGCTGAAATAATCATCCTTACGCTGCGTCTCCGATATTGAAAATCTTAATGTGAACAATATCTCGATACAAGAACACCGTTCGAGGGGTCTACAGTAAGACGAGCACTTTCTCCCCCTCCACTTGGCTGACTTGCCATAGTGATGGGTGATAATTGATAGAAAACATTCGTTAGAGCGAGCTTTCATTATAACGAAGTGATATTTTAGGTCCCGTGGGGTTCTTTATAACGAGATTTCACTGTACCTACGATCAAGACCTGCTTTCGCTCACCCCACTGCAATGTTTTCAGGGTCGTCGCATAGCTTGTGTCGTCCGGAGAGACTGTGACAATCTAGGAGAAAACTCGATGATGGAATCGAGTCTCAGAATCATCACAGCAATAAACCATTAAATTTCCCTTCTCAGACTGACCACTTGAATGTAGGAATTTCGCCCAAGCGCATCCTGAAGCAGCCGAGTAAGCAGAGAGTCACCGAATGGAGGTTGCGTTTCTCCAGGATCGGCCCATGCTCGCAAGCAGCTCTCAAGAGCGAAGATAGACTCGTTCAGCTGTTTCGCACACAAGGCCCATTCGTCATTCAGGTCCGGCACCAGGGTCGAGACCTCGCTTCAGAGAAAAATGATTCCATTAACGTTGATGCGCCAGGATCACTTGGGTTCACGTACGAGCATGTACGCTCAGATCCAGGAGAATCGCTGTAGAATCGGAGTTTGCCTCCTTCTTACGAAAATCAAGGTTAAGAGGATGAATACCTTCCGGCAGATTCGATCACGGTCAGAGTAGCTCTCCGACAGATGTCCTTCGAATGAGTCGCTTTCGAGTGTTGATCCAGTCGAATTTGTAGCACCAAATTACCGTGTCTGCAATGCGAGAAGACTCAAGCGCCGTCCTGATACATCAAAGCTCTCTGAGCTCGGGAAATGGAACCCAATTGAGAGAAATCTACGAATCGGACCGAAAATGGGTTCTTCCGTGTACTAACTTTGTCTCTCTCCGGTAATTTGTGGAGTGTAGAGCTCGATTTATCAGTGCTTTTTCAATGATCGCAGTCAGCTCCTTGTAAGTAGCAACGCTGAACTCTGACAATTTGGGTACTGAAGACAAATTTAGAATTCTCAAAAGCTATATTCCAAGCAGATTATGGATAGATGTAACGAATCGCACGTGATCTGCATGAATTCTTAGATCGGACCCACCAAAGAAGTCGTTACTCGAAGTCGAGTAGCTTTTGAGTGGTCTCGGTGAATCTGACAGGAGGTCAATGATTCCCTCCTCAAAAATCTCGTACACTCTGAACGTCACTTCCGCCCACAGCAGCTTCTGGAGCACAATAAAGCAAATTTCAGTCAGTGCCTCACGATTCTAGACCGGAGCCCGAGAATGCGCGGCTGGTGCATATGACCTGGCAGATTATCTGAATATCGCCGACAAGGACTCAACATGGAGATTGGTGTGAGGAACAAGGAGATGATTCCCGAGTAATCGACTCGGACTTTTTCATCGGGACTTCCGTGAGGCGCGAATCGCGTCGATTTTGTGTCTAGGGTAGGGTCAGAGACTCGATATTGTGCGCAGACGAAAGACAGTCCTCATTCTCGAAAGACGGTCCTCGTCCTCTAGAGGCTAGAGTCTAGATCTAGACATCAACCCGAGAGCCTGGACGGAGTTGATATGGATTGTTCATCTGAGCCTTGCCGGTGGGCCGCGCAGGTCGCAGACCTCAATTATCCCGCACTGTCTAACCTTATCAATGACGCGGCGTTTTTCTAACTGGTAGAAGAGGTCATCATACATCCTGAGCGCGATTCCTTTGTTTTCGCTGGTGCCGAAGAGAGAATAACTTTTCCCGGAGCCAGATTCACCGTATGCGATCAAAGTGCTATTGAATCCGTCCCA